ATCTTTTTAAGTATATCAGGTTAAGCAATTTGCCTCTAAGTAAGTTTCAACAATATAGTGATCATCTTTTATTAAGTCTTGGTAAAGCCTTCATAGTATACTGCCCAGAAACTAAGTGATGTCTGATAGTAACAGCTGGATAACAAATCCTTTCACAGCTTCTTTGATTTTGAAAAAAATTAAAGGGGGGCCTAGTTTAGTTATCTGAAAGAATGTTAAAAATTATTTTGGGCCCTCCCTGGTGGCGCAGCGGGTTAAAGCACAACACTGAGAATCTAAAGCCACTTCCGCATGAGTTCAATTCCCGCCTGCCCCGGAGGTAACCACATGGTGTGGCAGACCTCTCCTGACCCGCCCGGTGCTCCCCTGAGCAGTGTACTTCATAGATCTGTCTGTTCTGCTCCCCGCTCTGTCTCTGGTGAAGCCTTTCACCGCCCCTGAGCCTCTGGCCTGTACCCCAGTTCTGTATGCACAAATAAATAAATCTTTAAAAAAAATTATTTTTATGATTAATTTTGTGTAATTTTGTATATAACTTGGAAATGGTTCATGGAATTGAATGACTGTGGTCTTTTCATTCCTATGTACTTATTTATGAAAATAATATTTTACATATATCAATAATAACACGAGTAAATAACACTTTAGAATTAAAAAGCCTACCTACTAATGTTTACATTAATTGAAAAATAAATAACTCAGTACTTCCCATTGAGATAAATTTCTAATTAATTTTGAAATGGAGAATTTTATAATCTATATTTACCCATCATTTGCATAATAATGATCATAAATGCTAGTTAAATTCAGGGGGAAAAGTATTGAACATTTTGGTATTTGTAGACATAAAATTTTTAAAATATTAAAATTATAATTATAGATGCTTTTGTTAAGAAACTTAGAATCATCAAAAATATTTTATAGTTATAAACTTATTACTTACTGGCACAAAGTTCACTGGAGGAAGTAGAATAGAAATATCAGAATAGAGAAGAAAGCAGTCAAATTTGCAAATATATAATTTATCACTCTGTTACTTATTAAAATATTTTTACTGATATTAAATCCTATTGGATAGCACACCACCACTTTTAAATGTCACTATAGGCTATATTTTTAAAAATAATATTAAAAATAATAAGATATGATGACAAATTTTTCAACCTTTTACTGTAACTGTTTTCCAGTTGTATCCCCTTTATGAGAATACAGGTGACTAAAGATAGGGGCCAGGTTTTCTAAGGTTTTTTAAAGTTTGCATCTTTCACAAGATCTTAACAAAGTTTGAACAAGAGTTCATAGTAGAAGCTCAGTAAATATCTACTGAATTAGATTATTTGTATTTTCATCAAAAGGAATCATTCATTCCTTTTTAATTTCAGTTAAGTGGTTAATATTTTTTCAACTATCGAGGATAAAAACCATTGCCTGGCCCTCCCTGGTGGCGCAGCGGGTTAAAGCACAGCACTGAGAAGCTTAAGCCACTTCCTCATGAGTTTGATTCCCGCCTGCCCGGGGGGTGACCACATGGTGCGGTAGACCTCTCCTGGCCCACCCACTGCTCCCCTCAGCAGTGTACTTTGTTGATCTGCCTGTTCTGCTCCCCACTCTGTTTCTGGTGAATCCTCTCACCCTCTACATCTCTGGTCTGTACTCCAGTTCTGTATGAATAAATAAATCTTAAAAAAACACAAAACATTGCCTAACAGAAATAAAATTTGGGTTTATCTTTAAAATCAAAATAGGAAAAATACTGTAAGAAGGAAATGTGTATATATAAGTAAGCCAATGTTTATTTTCTAACATGTGGCTATTTTCTAGATAAGATAAAACACTAGACATTTGGAAATATATTTATTGACATAAAACTAGAGAGTATATATAGACATGTAACTAAAACCAGTTTATTTTCATGGTAATTCTAAGGCGCACCATGTTAGAAAGCAGTAAAAGCACCAGGACGTGGCTCAGAGTAAATGCCGATAAGCCTTTTCTCCTCCAGACATTGCTATAAAACTGTAGTGAAAAATTATATGTTTTTACATTCTGCTTAGGGCACCATAAGCAAAATATGTTGTATTCTGATTTACCTGTATATAACCCTTTTGTAATTTTTGTAAATTATCAAATTATTGTCCTATGACTATAAATCTGTCAAATTCCACTTAAATGTGATATTGAGCATTTTATCTTGTACTAAATATTATCCAAAGAAACAATATTTTATATGGAACTCTTATAAGTAATATAGCATAGGCAAAAACATTTCTTAAATATAATAACAACTTTTATAACTTTCTATAGAAATATCAAGTTTGGGTTTAGGAATTAAATTAGGAATCTGCCCTGATTCTTACCATTCCCTTTCTGTTGTGAGACTGTCACTTAAAATAAGAAAATATCTCAACTTTATAAAACCCCTTTAATTAAAAAAAAAATGTGGACACTGTTTTATATATGATAATCCTGTATTCTAACAATATATTTAGGGATATCAATTCTATCTAACATTTATTGAATATCCACCTTATGGTAGGTACTTTGTTTAGCACTTTACATAACACCTCTCTGAGGCAGGTAATGTTACTGTGGTCCTTTGACAAGAAGGGTGCCAGGTAGAGATTCATGGCATACAGAAGGTGCAGATGGAATGTTCCTGCCCTGTTCTTCCTGAACTCCTCATTAGCTGTGGGCTCCATGAGTAGGGAGCATTTCTTATTGTATCTCAGTGCCCATTATAGCACTGGTCTTATAGGCAGAGGGGAGGAGGAAATGAAAGAAGACACTGTCATTGTCATGATGATGATGAGAAATAGAGATAGGAAGACAATGACCAGACCAAAAAGTGTAATCATGCTTCCAGTGAGCAAAGAGCAAAAAGTCCCATTTGCAAGGATATTAGAAAATGAAAACAATCCCATAAAAGTAATAGAGTGTTATGAAAATTGAGTATTCAAAATCACATCTTATTTCCTTGGGAATAAGCCTCGTTAATTAGCAAAAGTTTATTTGTTATGACATATGCCATTGAAGACTTGAGAATTAATATGTGACGCTAGTTCCTTTGTCCTTTTCATTTCAGCTTTCTTTTCACCTTAATGTTTCTTTTTAACTCCTATCTCTGCAAGGAAAGTATGGAGGAAAAACAATAAATTACTTAAATTTCTCAGAGAGACAGAAAACTTCATTTAGGGTTGAAATTCCTGGTACTTGTGAATGAGTGAAAATAACTGATAAGAAAAAGTGATCTTTTGAGTACTACTTAATTCTTCTCATGAGTAAGATCCAGAAGAATGGCTTGATTTAATCATGTTCAAAGCCTATGAGGATGCTAAATTTCTTTATCATTGTAACTTTGGGCTTCTCAAAGGACATAGGATCCTGAAGAAGACAATAGCCACACTAGACTGTTTCTCAAAGTCCCTTTTCATCTTTTTCTGAAATTTACAATTTAGCCCAAACAAACTATTTCAGTTCACATTGTCTCCTGAATTCCTCAGTGAAATGAGTTTATCCCGAACTGGCCCAAAGGAAATAAAAATCAGTCAAAGTGAAAAGAAATAATGTTGTTTTGACAGCTAAATTTGTGTAAAGCAAAAAAAAAAAAAGCAAAAAAGCAACTGTTCACTGTTTTTCTGCCACCCTTAAAAAGTAATTAAAAAAAAAATCTTTTTTTTTATATGAACATGAAAGCAAATATAAAAATAGATTGAGTTCTTCCCTTTGAGGGGAAATAGCCTGGAGATACTTGAATTCCCTGCTAAACCTTTGGTATCTATCAGACTTGTATTTCAATCATTGTAAAATTGACTGTAAGCAAATGTCCGTTTAATCATCTGGGTATTTCCAGTTTGTCCACATAGGTAAAGCACATACAACAATGCTCAACCCATAGGTAGTGCATAGTAAGTGTTAGTAACAGCCATAGTACTTTAAATCCATATCCTACTAAGATAGAAAAGGAAATGCCAAAGGGGATGATTGTTTTATGTTAAGGCACTCAGTCTTTCCAGGAAAATTAAATAGGGAGTTAATCACATCTGAAATTGAACATGAAGTTTCAGAAACACCTTTAAAAAAATCCTCTAAGCCTACCTTTACAACTTGTTTTGAAATAGTAACTCAGGTTTCTTTCTACAAAAAGAGCAACATTTTACTTCAATTTCCCTAAGTTAGAAAGCTCTAATTTACTACTGCTTGAGTATATTTTATAAGGTAGCTCAGAATTAACATGTATCTATAATATATGTTAATATTATCTGATAGTCCACACTATGTGGCCAGGTAAAACCTTTTTAGAGTTTATTTTTTCAAAAACCATTTGGTCATGGAACAAAGGAACTAAATATTTTCCCAAGTCTAAAAACCAAAAATCAAAGTCTTTCTTTATAAATCACTGTATATGCACATACATGACAAGGTAAAGCCTCAAACAAAGTATGAATTTTAATGCACAAGCGAAAACTGACTGAAAGAAGTGGAATGTGGTCTATTTTAACACAGACCTATCTGCCACTAGCTATGTCTCTTTTCATATGACATGTGTTGATAAGAATATTTCAACTTAATCTTAATCTAATTCAAATATATAAATATTAGTTCTATCTTTACAATTTGTAAAGGTTTCTAATACAACTTGTATTAGGTTTCTAGTCACATGCTTAATGAAGCAATAGTATAAGATAACATGAAACTGCTTCACTTACAGGAGAATCTTCTAAAGGACAGGCCTAGCAACTTGGAACCATCCTTGCCCTGTAATGTGGCAACTATGCTGGACTCCCTGGTTCAATTAATTACAGTCTTATCAAAAATAGATTCTCTAAACTTAAAAGAAAATACTTCTGTGGTAACATTGGATGACATTTCCAATCAGAGCCATAAAAGTTCTATAAAAAATAAAACAATACTTGAAGATAAGGTAAAAAACATTTTAAGAACCATCACTTAAAAACACATGGGTTTCATCCCATTTTGCTTGGTCAAGATACAGGTTATCTTTACGCAGTCTCTGCAGATCCAAGGAACTTCATTTCTACCGCAGCTTTTGTTGCTGGGGCTGAGCCTTTCTTCTTTCTGAATTCTGCTGCAATTTCCTCAAAGGACTTTCCTTTCGTTTCTGGAACTTTGAAAAATGTAAACAGCGTAAAGACCAGGACCACTCCAGCAAAAAGGAAAAACACATAAGGTCCAGTGAAGTCCTGTGTGGAGAACAAACACAGAGTTCTAATGAGCAACTGTTTGATCTTATCTTCTGTTCAAAAACTTTATCCAGCATTAGGCCACTTACTGCAATGTAGGGGAAACACAGAGCGACAATGAAGTTGCAGGTCCAGTTGCTGAATGCAGCTAGTGCTAAAGCAGCAGGTCGTGGTCCTTGACTGAAAAACTCTGCCACCATGAACCAGGGAATGGGGCCTGGCCCGATTTCAAAAAAACTGACAAAGAGGAAGATGGCTACCATGCTCACATAACTCATCCAAGCCAATTTATTCTGAGGAAAAAAAAAACAAACAAAACCCTAAGTAGAAATGGGCACACTGGATGTTTCTTTATCTAGATAGAGTCTCATGAGTTCAGAGGTGACAGAGCTCCCTTCCTTATGGGCTTATGTTTAATTAAGTGCAAGTTATTATAGTCAGAGATAAGTTTAATCCAGTCTGAGTCAACCACAGATATTTTGAGGTCCCATATAGGAAATCCTCTCAGGATTATGTAAGACTCTTATACATTTTTTTCCTGTGAAAGAGGCATGGCAAGAATCCAGTGACCTTGGACCAATTGAGACTAAGGTTACTAGACAGGAAGCATGACCCTCCCTCTGAGAAAAAGTAATACAGATGGTGGCCTAGAGATGTTACTCTGGCAGGTGGAAGAGGCAGCAGACGAACTCACTTGGGGTTAACCCCAGAGTCTATGCTTAGACCATTTTGCTTCACAGCTTCCTTGGGTAACAGGGATGTTTACATGTTGATACTCAGTCTTTGCACACAACAAAACTAGTTTCCTTTGTCTTTACATTTCTCCTTTGTATTATATGCTGTTCTTCTGACCATTTCATATGCATTTTCAAATATTTTTGAGATGCAAAACATTTTAACTTGGAGTGCATATATGCTATCGTATGGTAACCAAAGATCTCAGTGTAGGCACCAAACTCACCAGTAGTATGAGTCCCACTGACATGAAAATGGCACAGAAAAACATCCCACTCATTCCGGTTAGAAACAGAGAACGGCGCCCTGCCTTCTCCACAAGGAATACCTGGAAAAGTGGTTAAAATATTGACTTTTTACTTGCATAATTTTTACTGCCCAAGAGGTTACTTACATTTTTTCAACTCGAAGGAGGTAGTTCTGTTCTCCCATGCTACAGAAGCAGCATGAAGAGGGAAGTAACTTTTCCTGGTGGCAGAGCTGATCTCAATAAACAGAGATTTAACTAATATCTGTTTTACTTAGATGGATTTAAATTGGCTGTTCTAGAGATAGAAACATTGTGATTATCCCCTTGGGTAAAATATTAAGGGCTCTACAACTTGGGTCTCTCCCAATAGATTTCCTAAACCTTTACAATATGAAGGTTCTACAGACAAAAAAAAAAAAAAAATATTGACTTCTCTTTTGTGAATTATCCTAAGTTTTAAGCACAACAGTTTTGCAATGAAGAAACCTGAGACAGTTAAATGTGCAGATATCAATTATTCTTATCAAACTTTCTTACTGCTAATAAATGCAACTTATGACCACTACCCTGAAAACACATGGAGTTTAATCATGCTGCCAAATAGTTAAGTCTGCATTATTTTTGTGTACCTAAATGTACCTGGTGCCAGGAATGAGCTGTGTACTTAAAAGATAGGACTTTAAAGGAAAAGGTTAAAGTGCTCTCTTATCCTCATTCTGTTATTGATTATTTTGGTTAATTTTTTTTTTTTTCATGAATGCGGTAAGACTACAGTTTGTTGAATAGACTTGGTTTTGATCCTTGGAACCTGATCCAGCTGTCAAGGTTGGTGAGTCACACACATAAAACTACCTATCATAATTTCTCACTTCATTGAATGAATTAGCTATGTTCAAAATCTATTAGTAAATAAATAGTAATCCAATATCTTTAATATAGTGAATTCTGGCTCTGAAAATATCTCACACATATTTCTTTTCACATACAATAACTGCCCCTTCATTTCAGAGGTATTTCATATCTGAGTTTCAAACCACCTTGGGGTGATACGCAAACAGCTCACCTTTTATCACTGAGAAGGAAATGGAAATACAAACCTTTCACAAGTTCATAAATTTATTTATATATTTTGATTTTATCACTAGGATAACTGACATTATGTCAAATTACCAAGACAATTTAAAGCATTTCTTCAGATTCAGGAGATTTTTATTGTCTATTTCTTCTAAACTTTTTTTTTTTTTTTAAGATTTATTTACTTATACAAAACTGGGGTATAGGCCAGAGGTACAGAGGTGGTGAAAGGGTACACCAGAGTCAGAGTGGGGAGCAGAATAGGCAGATTGACAAAGTGCACTGCTGAGGGGAGCGTGGGCAGACAGGTCTGCTGCTCTATGTGAATCACCTGAACACGGATACAACTTGTACAAAGGCGGCCTCAGCCAGCTTTGCAGTGCTGCACTTTAACCTGTTGCATCACTAGGGAGGGCACAAACAACCATTATTAATGGGATAATAAAAACTAAACAAAATTGTTGTAAAATTGAGTGAAATGGCCTCCTTGAGGCCAGGTGGGCACTCAAGGAGAGTGACAGGGAGAGTCAGCAGCTGATGATGTCTGCTGACCACAATCCGTGTTTTTGCCCCAGCCAGTGAGTTTCACTCACATCCTGGGTGCTACTTGGAATATGCTAGCGATTGCTTCTACCCTAAACCTACCACTTCCCATGTTGTGTTTTTTTCTTAAGTGATTACAAGATCCCTTTACTACAAGATCCCTTTACCAATTTATTAGTGGTAGAAAATACAGGGTATGGAACATAATTCTGTATAGAATTAGGAGAATATCTCTCTTCCCAAATACTCATTCAGGAGAAAAAGATTGATGATGTTCTGTCCAAATTGGTGAAACATTAGCATATTTTTAGTGCATATTATATTTGCATGTCATGATTTGAGTGGATACATGGAATTTGTTGACATCGGTTAAATTTGGAGTGAAACTGAGACACTATTCTTTTTGAATATTTTGAAATTAGAATGTCTCAAAAATGGCCCTCCCTGCTGGTGCAGTGGGTTAAAGCACAGTACTAAGAAGCTAAAGCCACTTCCGCATGAGTTCGATTGCTGCCTGCCCTGGAGGTGACCACATGGCCTGGCAGACCTCTCCTGACCTACCCGCTCCCCTCAGCAGTGTACTTCGTCGATCTGCCTGTTCTTCTCCCCACTCTATCTCTGGTGAAGCCACCCCTGAGCCTCTGGCCTGTACCCCAGTTCTGTATGCACAAATAAATAAATCTTTATAATAAATAAATAAATAAATAAAATGTCTCAAAAACAAAGATAATTTAAAATTTTTATATGTTACCTATAATCCTAGAGAGTTAATTATGGAGCTGATTTTTTTTAAAAATTATAATAGTTTATTTTTACATCATTTTGTGCCTTTTTCCATCTCAGTTGTAATCCCCCTAGACTTCCCATCACCAGTTTACCTGTGTGCCATCACCATAGTCCTGTGCACTCCCACCCCCCGCCATTTTTGATCCTATTTCCCACTCTACCTCCATAAAATGTCTCTGGTATATAGTTGTTTATTATTATTATCCCCCCCAGCCCCACCCCCGATCCTTTATGCTCCTGCTATGAGTGAAACCATCTGGTATTTTTCTGTTTCTTTCTGGCTTATTTCACTAAGCATGATGCCTTCCAGCTCCAATTGTGGAGCTGATTTTTAAATTATGTCACGCAGTTGTTCAAAAACTTTCACAAAACAAAAGGTTAAACTTTAAAATGTATATTAAAAACAATTAACTTATTTTCAGAACAACTGCTCCCACACTAGTAGTTCAGGATGGAGAAGACAGAAATGAAATGCTGCAGTAGTTTCCTTATTAGGCATTCCTAGAGTTTGGGATACCCAATCTTTGCTAAACATCAAATCTTATATAAATATTTTAATCTTATTTTTATTAGAAATATGCTGCTTTAGGATTTGTAAAAAATATTATCTCAGAAGACAAAAGAATGTGAATAGTTCCTTGGCTATAGTAATATGCCTTCATTGATTTAGTGTTGTCTTTTGGCTATTCATAGACATAGACACAGTCACTAGTGTTCCCTGTTATCTGTTCTTCCTCCTCTTTCCAAGGTCCAGCACTGTTTAATGTGGTCTGGACAATGTGCCTTTTGGTCTAGATGGCAAGGCTGTAATTTATTGACCACCCTAAGTTAACAGTTAAAAGTCCATGGGCAGAGAATGAAAAACAACTGCCTAAGCAGATTGTTGCATTGTGATCAAAATTGAAAAGCATAAGCTTTCTGAATGTCCTATAGTCAAAGATAAAAATAAGCCCCACAACCTCCAATCTGGGGTGAATTCATAACTTGGGGAGCTGTGGGACTTTAATTTCTTAGAGTATATTAAATATTATTGTTAAGACATTACATGAGTCCTTTTATCTGACATTCAGTCCTGGTATTGAGACTGCTTTCACTTGTCAAAAAAAGATAACATTTCAAAAATTTTTAACATTTGACTTTTTTGAACAAATGACATTTGAAACAAATGTTTCGAAAGATAACATTTCAAAAATTTTTAACATTTGACTTTTATAAACAAATAACATTTCAACTATACCACCTGTAGTCCATCTTCTCATAGTATCATAAAGACGTGTATGTATCTCCAGATGTCATAACTGGGTGAGCTCCTAGAAGCTCTGCCAGTGGGCTAACATCATAGGAATTTGTTGTTTAGCTAAACTGGTTCATTTCCCAGAGGCTTAGATAACTATTAGAGAGAAACTTGTTTATTGTTTTAATATGTTTACCTCAAGACATTAGGATTAAACAAGAATTTCAACTGACAAGAAGAACCCAGTTAGAAAACCCAATGTTGATAGAAATGACAAGTGGCTGGCTAATTCCAGAGGCCTAAGCTCAGAGAAAAGAAGATACCAAGCTATTTATGACAGGAAAAAAGTTCCTCTGTGTCCTCAAATGAGTTATTTCACAAATGAATGATTGCATGTCATCTCAGCAGATAAAGAGAACTGGCCCAGTTACTCCAATTTTAGTTCTGTAGTTTATTAGTCACATAAAAGCTTGCCTTGCTTTATTGTGCTTTGCCTTGTTGCCTTTTTTTCACAAAGTAAAGATTTGTGGAAACTCTGCATTAAGCAACTCTAGTAATGCCATTTTCCCAAAAGTATAGGCTCACTTGTGCCCTCTGTCCCATTTGGGTCATTCCCAAGATGTTTCAAATGTTTTTAAGATTGTGTCTGTTATACCATGCATGCTATGGTCACTGATCTTTGATGTTACTTATTGTACATGTTTTGGGGGCACTGTGAACCACATCCAGGTAAGATGACAAACTTAATTGACAAATGTTTTATGTATTCTGACTACTCCTTCAACTGTTCCCTTATCTCTCTCCCTCTCCTGAGACCTCTCTATTACCTGAGTCTCAACAAAATTGAAACTAGGCCAATGATAATCTTACATTGAACCTCTAAGTTTGCAAATGAAAGGACAAGTTGCATAGGACTCACTTTAAGTAAAAAGCTAGAAGTGATTAAGCTTAGTGAAGATGGTGTGTCAAAAGCTGAGGTAGGCTGAAAACTAAGTGTCTGGTGCCAAATAATTAACCAACTTGTAAATGCAAAGGAAAAGTTCTTGAAGAAAGTTAAAAGTGCCAGCATATGAACACACAAGTGATAAGAAAGTGAAACAGCCTTATTGCTAATCTGGAGAAAGTTTTGGTGGTATGAATAGGAAATCAAACCAGCCACAATAGTCCTATAAGCCAAGCCTAACCCAGAGGATGGCCCTAACTTCAATTCTATGAAGGCTGAGAGAGGGAAGGAAGCTAGAGAGTAAAAGTTTGGTTCATCAGGTTCAAGGAAGGAAGTTGTCTCCATAAGACAAAAATGCAAAAGGAGGCAGCAAATGCTCATATAGACGATACAGCATATCAACCCAGAAGATCTAGCTAAGATCTTGGTGAAGTTGACTACACTGAACAACAGATTTTCACTGAAGAAAAAGCCTTCTACTGGAAGAAGGTGCTACCTGTTATTTTCATAGCTAGAGGGAAAGAAAAAAAAAAAAAAAAAAAAAAAAACCAACGACAGGCTTCAGAGCTTCAAAAAACAGGCTTAATATTATACTAGGAGCTAGTGCAGCTGGTAACATTAAGTTGAAGCCAATGCTTACTTTAAAAATCCTTGGACCCTAGAGAATTCTGCAAAATCTACTTTGCTTATGCTCTGTGCATGGAAGGACAAAGACTGATGGCAGTAAATCTGTTTACAACATAACTAACTGAATATTTTAAGTCCACTGTTGAGACCTATTGCTCAGAAGAAAAACAAATATGACTTTTCGTTGATCATGCACTAAATTCAAGAACTCTGGTAGCTATGTTAAGATTTATGTGGTTTTTGTGCCTACAATAATGCAATATCCATTCTGTTACCCAAGGATCAGGTATGATTTTAAAGTGTTATCATTTAGTAATTATTACTTAAAAAACACCATTAGTGAGGCTACAGCAGCCATGGGTCTCAGCACGTTAAACTTGGAGAATCCACTATTCAAGATGCCTCTAGGGGAATTTGTGATTTATGGGAGGTGGTCAAAATATTGAACTAAACAGGGATTTAGAAGAAGCTGATTCCAACCCTCTGGATGACTCTGAGAGGTTCAGTGGAGGAACTGCAGATGTGGTAGAAACACCGAGAGAACCAGAAATAGACTTGAAGATGTTACTGAATTGCTGCAATCTCATTTAAATTTTCAATAGATGAGGACTTTAAAATTGTAATGCTCTGAATACTTTAAAAATGACAACAAAGGCTTTAGCACATTCTATCAGCTTAGCTGATAAGGTTTGAGAGGATTGATCCTAATTTTGAAATTTCAAACTCTTAGAACTTTTATTGCTGATAAAATGCTATCAGTTTCACATGCTACAGAGAAACACTTCATGAAAAAAGCAAGTAGGTTTCAATGTCTTATTTTAAGACATTGCCACAGTCACCCCAACCTTTAGCAGCCACTGTCCTCATTAGTCAACCGCCCCAAACATGGAAGCAACATGGAAGCCCCCACCAGCACAGAGATGACAACTCGCTGAGAGTTCAGGTGATGTTAGCATTGTTTAACAAAAAAATATTTTCAAAGTAAGGTGTATGGGCCCTCGCTGGTGGCACAGCAGGTTAAAGCATAGCACTGAGAAGCTAAAGCCACTTCAGCATGGGTTCGATCACTGCCACAGAGGTGACCCACATGGCGTGACAGACCTCTCCTGACCCACCTGCTGTTCCCCTCAGCAGTGTACTTTGTCAGTTGGCCTGTTCTGCTCCCTACTCTGTCTCCAGTGAATCCTCTCACTGCCCCTGCACCTCTGGCCTGTATCCCATTTCTGTATGCATCAATAAGTAAATCTTCAAAAAAAACCAAAAAACAAAAAGTAAGGCATGCACATTGTTTTTTAGACATAATGCCATTACACATGTAGTAGATAACTCTAAAGGGGAAGCATATCTTCTATATGCACTGGAAAACCAAAATTTGTATGACTTGTTTATGGAAATATTTGCTCTATTCAGAGACATGGAAATGAAACCACAGTACTTCTGGGTGTGCCCGAATGCCCTAGTTACAGATCTACTTGGGTCATAGATGCATTGCGCATGCCAGTATGTCATCAGCCACTTTTACATTACACTTTTGTTTTCCTATTTTTAAAACCATATTTCTTGACTGAAGGAAAACTAAATATTTATTTAGGTATTCACTTACGGAGAGAACAGTGAAAAGTGTGTTGACAACACCAACTCCAATGGTTGCATAAACAGGTTTACTGATTCCAGCCTTCTGAAAAATGTCAGTTGAATAGTAGAAAATCTGCAAAGCAATCAGGTTAGTTTAAAACAAGAACACCAGAACTGATGACTTTAAAACAATAAATATTGGGCTTCTGGTGGCACTGGGGTTAAAGTTAGCTCTGTCAGGCTGTCCCATATCATGGTGGCATGGGTTCAATCCCTAGCCAGGGACCTTGCCTTTTTTATCCCCTGCTCCCCCTCAGCAGTGTATTTCAGTAGACCTGCCTGTTCTTCTCTCCACTCTGTCTCTGGTGAATCGTCTCTGCATCTTCTGTATTTAGCAATTTTTTTAGCTTTTTATTACAGTATAAATTGTCAAAAAGTACAGGTAGTATAAATAATCTACTAAATTTCTTTTTACAAACTGAATACACCTGCATAACCAGCACTTGGACCCAGAAGTAAATAATTTTCTGCCTCCTGAAGACTCCTAAAAATCCACTTATTTTTCCAATGAAAGTCTTCTACTGGCCAGCATGGTAGATGAATTTTAACTAACCTTAGACTAGTTATAAATGGGATCACAATATATATTATTTTGTATCCAGCTTCAACAATAACTTTGTGAGTCTTACTCATGTTGTGTATATTTGTTGGCTGTTTATTTTCATTGCTTTATTGTATTTTATTGTATTACTATACCACAATTTAGTTACCCATTCTACTATCAATGAGAATTTTGGTAGTTGCCATTTGGAGTGATTATGAATGGTGCTGCTATGACCACCCTACTATAATCCTTTTGGTGAAATATGTCCATATTTATACCAAGAATAGAACTGCTGGACCATAGTATACATATATGCTCAGCATTGATAGACACTTCCAAGCTGTTTGCCAAATAATTTGGGTCAATTTATACATTCACAAGTGAGCATAGGAGTTCTAATCACTATTACCTTTAATCTAAAATTTTCCACTAATTTCAGCAGAGATAGAAAAATCTGGTGAACCACTTCACTAATAGCCTGTGTTCTTTAGGTATAGCTTGGGATTTACAATAGTCTTCTAGATCAATCTGTTACTCTCTAGTCCTATGTCAGCCCTTTCCAACCGAACATGTTTTTCAGTTGGCACCTCTTCTTGCAGATGGGCTCATGCCCGAGGACGGCGCAGACTGTGCTCACTGAGGAGAGGCTGGCATGCATGCAGAGCAGAGCATCACTGTTAGGGTGCCCACCATTGCCAAGATGTCTCCATCCCGGTACTGGGAGGGAAGCTAAACAGGGAGGTTCAGAGAGGTTAAGTATTGTGCCAATGGATATAGAGGCAGAGCAGAGACAGAGGATACAAATCTGGTCTCTGGACCCAATAGTCAAATAGAGTTGTAGATATAAGTGAACACCAAGGCCCCCTTCAAGGAGGATGGAGAGGACAGCGGAGCAGTAATCAGGCTGTGACATGAGTCAGTTCTCCTTTTTCTTCAACTAATGGGAATTACTTTCTTTGTCTCCCCCAGATCTCTGTGTACCCCTCATGCACCCTCAAATGACCCTTATGGATCTGGGATTGGCTTACTATAGAGAAAACTTAGCAGCAATAAAAGGGTAAGTGGTTCTTTAGTTTCTTAACAAATGCTGATTTTTTCCCCTTCTTCTGGTAGTTTATTGCCAGCAAAAGTTTTATTCTGTATGATGCAAGGCTTTCAATTCAAAAGCTAAACACTAGATCACTTAGTACTCAGTATGTTTTTCAATTATATACTATCTGCTACCTTCATTCACCAACAAGATGCCAGTTCACTCTGTTCATTTTATTTTCTGTCTCCCCAAATAGAGTGAAAGCTTCTTGGCAAGGAACTGTTTGCACAATCTAACTCGTATATTCCATGAACTAGGTAGAGGGTGCCATGGGTTCCATTTGCCTATCCCGTCAGAAATCCTAGATTTGATATTTCACTATCTATAAACCCCATTGTAATGTTTCTTTGGTATAATTATTTTCCTTTGCCCTCTTTTATTATCTTCTATCCTTTTACCTTCATGTTAATACAATACATATAGTATCATTGATGATTATACCTCTTTGCAACTCTGTCTTAATTCCCTTTGGTTGTAAGAGTTGGGGGTGCTTTTAAACTTACAGCATTGATTCCGGAAAATTGCTGAGCCATGTGTAGCATCAGTGCCACTAGAGTAGGCTGCCGGTAACTGGAATTAGTGAAGAGCTGAAGTATGGAGACTTTCTGTTCCCTTACTGCTTCATCTCGTTCTTTTCTCATCTCAGCGATGTCTTTGGAGATATCAGCGCTGCCTCTTAGTCTTTTCAAGCCTGTTTCCCAATGTGATCAGGTTGACACAACTCAGTTTAAAACAAAATAATTTTAAAAATTATTTTAATGAAAGAGCTATAGACATAATAGCAATGCATTGGGAATATTTTGTTGTTCAATTAAATCTACTTTTTATTTTTAAAGAGAAAGTATTTGGCTTCCTCTCCTAACAAAGACAGCTATGATCTTCATTATCATAGAAGCATAATATTGGAAATGTCTGTCAGAAATTCCTGGTGGGATCCAGTACTCTGCATGTCGGTTTGCAGAGCGGACAGACCCAGCAGGATGTGCCAGTGTTCCTGACTGCCCAAGATAAACTCCAAGGAAGCCTTACGGATGCCAAATGGCACATACCAATCACATTTAAAGAAAGCTTGCATATTCTTCTTATGTGTGGCCACTGAATCCATTTGGAAAGCGCTGGTGCCACTTTCGTCAGTCACCATTCTGGAGCACTGTTGCCCTTTACTGGTTTCAAAAGCAATAGGAAGAAGGAAAAACCACCCTCAGACTTACTTTTCTTAGCTTTCTCTTCTTCCTCCAACTTAATGTAAAGGTATCTGGGGCTTTCTGGACAGAAGAAAAACAACAGAGACTGGAGCACAGCTGGCAGAGCGGACAGACCCAGCAGGATGTGCCAGTGTTCCTGACTGCCCAGGATAAACTCCAGGCCGACAATCTGAAAAGGCAGGAAAAGCACATCACCTGCACAGAACTTTGGGTTTGCCTTCTGCAACAATGTGTTAAAAGGGTACATTGGCTCTTTACTTGTAATCTCTGACAATCTTACTCAAGTATGCAGACAGTGGAAACTATTACTAGTGTGTCTCAGCATCACTAAGTTAGGGCCCATTTGCTTTCCAAGGAATCCACCTACCTTTGCTTTCATCCAATGGGACATTTAGGATAGGCATCAACCAAATTTTTGAGAACAGTTTTTGATATATAACACCAAAATCACTCATAGCTTCTGACTTTTGTTAACAATTTTATCTTTTAAACTTATTAAATAAAATTTAAAAGTTTATTTTATTTAACTTAAATAAAATGGAGTTGCATAGGTAGGACAAGAGCTCTGCTGATACCAGCTTTGTACTTTTTATTGAAGTTTATCCTCTGGATAGTCATAGATTTGGGGCTCCAGGGACTCCCACTGATGCACGAATAGAAGGAAAAAGTAGAGCCAGATGAATAAGAACTCCTGTGGCACATCGTTTACATATTAAATTTCATGTAAGATGCTCAAAATAATGGAAACCCAGGCAACCAAAAAAAAAAAATTGAAGTTACTGTTTGAAATCTAAATGGAATCATTTAATTCTAGAAGACCTGGCTTTTCATGTCACCTCCAACACCAACCCCATCATTACCCTGAAGGGGAAAGTCTGGCATGCAGGAGTCATGGTTTAGCTTTGAGCTAAGAAGACTTTGTCTTTATACCAGCTCCACTGTTACTTGTGGGAAAAGCAGTTACTTTTTCTCCTCCTTCTTTATGATGCTTTATAAGCTACAGGTGCACAGTCAGAGACATTGAGTAAAATATAGTCAGGGAAAAGTAGGGAATGTGAGAATGGATTTCTTACTTGACTAATAAGAATGCCTGTGACAATGGCCAGCTGGTGAAGTGCACCCAGAGCACCCCTGAGTGTGGTTGGAGCGATTTCACCAATGTACATGGGAACCAAGCCTGAAACGAGCCCTGCACGAAACATAAGCATAAATGTTAAATTGTAACCTGAACTATTGCAATAATAATTTGATGTAAGCACAGTTGATATCTTGGTGGAAAGTCCCTTCCTGAGTGCATGAAGAGGAAAAAACCTTTGATCCCAGTGACAGACTCAGTTTAGCAAAGATATTTTTTGATAAGACCCCAAATGAAGCTTTCATTGGATTTATGAATAGAAGGAAATTGTTAAATAAGAATTTGTAATTATTTATGGTAGTACCTGATGTAAATATTGAATTTATATCATAATGCCTTCGGTTTTCTTTAGAAAATAGAGCTAAGAGTATTTTCATAATATCCTTGGTAGAGGTGAGTCAGAACATACCGAAGATCACAATGCACAAGAACGTTAGTATGAGAACTACAATCCCTATAGAAATTTCTACAATATGGTTCTCCAGACAGGGATGTGGCGGGGGTAGTTTGTAGGATGATGAAAGGAGTCATAAGTCATTCCAATTATGCCAGTCAGAGCAACCCAGCTTCTTTATTCTTTTTCTTGATGGGTTTCAGAAAATATTTTATCTGAATAAAGGCTTTTGGTATTTAAAAGGAATACAACGAGTTTGAAATGTATGAGACCTTCTGTAACTTTGTTCAATGCAGATGTAGTTAGGCACAGTGGAATTGGTGGAGTATCCAGCTACATGCTGAGTGCATAAAAAGAGTCAGAGACTAATAATAAATAAAGCATTTTCTTAAGAATTTAGAAATAAGTTTACCAGGTCCTCTGGTACAGTGAGTTAAAGTGCAGCACTAAGAAGCCAAAGATACTTCAGCATAAGTTCGATCGCCACCCCGGAGGTGACCCTCATGGGGCAGCAGACCTCTCCTGACCCACCTGCTGCTCCCCCTCAGCAGTGCACTTCGTTGATCTGCCTATTATGCTCCCCACTCTGTCTCTGGTGAATCCTCTCACCGCCCCTGCACCTCTGGCGTGTGCCACAGTTCTGTATTCATAAATAAATAAATATTTTTAAAAATCAATGCAAAAAAAATAATGATAAGTTTGCCAGAACATCTTCTAATAGAGACTTCTTGCCATCGTATAGGAATGGTGGCCTTTGTGTAAAAGAAGTTTTTGGAAACTGATTTATGGAATATATATACTATATATCATATGTAATATACATATATATAATGCTGTACTAATTTATATGCAAAAACTCATGCGAGACATTAAGAACAATTTGAAACATTAATATATCTCTATATATTATCTATAGATATTAGTATATAGATATATTATTTCAAAAATATATAGATATATTAATGTTTCAAATTGTTTTTAATGTGTCACATGAGTTTTTGCATCTAACTTAATACAGCATTTATCTGCTGAATTTACAAATGACTTTAATTTATGGTCTGTTGGTCTTAAATGAAAAAAAAATCCATGTATTTGGCCCCATTCCAGGCTGTACTATCTTTGTGAAATAACCTAATAGTATACTTCAATAAAAACCAGTGTAGAAAAGTGCATAGCTCTGAAACTTCAGGAACCTGAATTCAAGTTAGGTTTCCTCTAATATTTAGCAATTTTAATGCTCAGAAAGTTTGAAGGATGCTTGGTCAGTAAAGTTGCTCTAAAAATGTTGATAGCAAATCTTTTCAATTTTGCCAAAAATATTTTGTGATTT